GTTCCGTTTTGATTTCAAACCAAGTGCAACAAGCTTTCTATCTTTTCCCAAAACAACAAAGCCAAACAACAACAACAACACACGAAATAAATGTGTAGAATCGCTGAACCGCAGCCTTTCCCTCCCTCTCTCTATATCTCTCTCTCTCGCTCGCTCGACTCTTTTTCGCAGTGTGTTTAAATAGCTGCATAAATATCAATTAAAAAGCAGAGAACGCATCAAATAAAGCCAAGTAAGCCGAGAGATAGGAACCACACCAGGGGTCTACATAGAGTTGGATGCTTTGAAACTCAATTACCGTTCCCTTAATTACGAAACTTGCACACAAACGAGAGCAACAGCTACGGATAAGGCTGGAGTTAGAGCGAGAGCGCGATCATGGGAGGGTATACAAAAATTTGCATTCAACTAGTTGTAGTCGCTTCTCATTTTATATGGCCATGAAGCTGCCGCCTAAGCGGGCAATGCATGCGTGCCAATGCTCCTCTCTCTCACTCCCCCCCTCTCTCTCTCTGCCCCAACTTCTTTTCCCCACACATTCGCACAAAAGCTGGCCACGCAAGTGTGACGCGTTCAGTTGTAGTTGTTGTTGTTGTTGTTGCTGTTACGAGTATTTAGCCAGTCAACCAAAGCTTTTTAACCTTCTCTTCGCTCTCTCAGGTTATGTAAATATCTCAATGCAAACTGTTTATACACACACATGTACGCATGCACGCATGTATGCATGTCGCATGTCGCATGTCGCATGTCGCATGTCGGGAGTGGGCGTGATAGACTTGAAAAATTCTTTCACTATGCAGCGCAGACAAATTTCGTTTTTTTGGGGTCTCTTGATAATTTTGTCGTAGTTTTATTCATTGGAGGAAGCGCAGCGAGCAAAACGAACGAAACAAAAGCAAAAAAAAAAAACAACAACCAGTTTGGACTGTATTGTTGTTGGCCTGGCTGCGACGGCGACGGCTGTAGCAGGGCTAACGGTGCTTAACGTCACCTACTTTTTACTCAGTTTTTGGTAAATAAAATACTTCAACGGCATGCGATCGTCAGTGTGTGTGTGTGCGTGTGTGTGTGTCTAACAGTTAAACCGGTTTCATCAAATTGTGCATTGAAAACGAAATGATTTTAATACTATATTCCCATTGGAAAAGCCCAAAAAAAAAAAAAAACAGGGTATACTGGAGTTATGCAAGTTCATGTAACAGATATCAGATTGCATGCAAATCGCGCAAGCTACAGCCGAGCCAATCTCGGTCTAGAGATATATTGGGAAAATAGAATTTCGCACATCACGATCTACAAAATGGGAATACGGTTGAAGAAGCTTCTTACTGGGTATCTAGTAGTCGTGCACTGACTAGAACACTTTTACTTACAACAAGAAGAAGCAAAGCTGAAGTGTAAGTTGAGAGGCCCCGCTGTTTCTTGGCCCAGTTAAGTTGCCCCAAATGCACCTCGTTTTCTAAGACGCGCCCAGAATCTGGCCAGAATCTATTAATTGGATAACATATGTATTTGTCCTCACAAGCTGCCCCATGCAACTGCTGGATTAAAGAAAACAAAAAAAAAACACATTTACATATTTTAACCAACGCCACGAAACATGAGCGATAAGACACACAGACGTGCCAGTATCTAAATAGTCTGTCGCCGGAAAACTGAAGAACCAAGAACTCAGCTGGTTTATTGTCTACGGCAGAGCGCGTGTCACGGCCAAAGCTTTAAGTCTTCCCAGTATACAAGTTCCGATACGCTGTTCACAATGTGAATAGGGGCATATTGGTTTTGTACAATGTCCGTCTGTGTTTCTATATAAAAGCTAGTTTTGAACATTTATTGCATTTAGAACATTTTAAATTGAAAAATTGAAAATCTGAGAATTTTAAAGTCTTACAACTTTAAAGTCTTCCCAGATCAGGCTGAAAATCTAACTGGCACGCCCACCTACTTCCAATTTACATCTTAGATTATAATGAAGACTTAATATTTGATACCAGAAAATGAATAACAAAATTATTATTAAAAATCTTAAAAAAAGAGCATCATTAATTGGAGATTCTTCCCGCAATATAGCTCTAATATGCAGATCATAGAACCCAAAAACCTTAGTAAGCATTTTATAGATTAAATACCTTTAAAAACACACACACAAGAACTCAGATTGTTCGATAGCTAGATAAGCTATATAAGCTATATAGGGTTTATACTAAACTGATCCAATCCTGCGGCAATTTTGAAAGATTTGGTTGGAAAAGTCCTTTGCTTTATATACATATACCTCTACCTTTCCCAACTCGGCTAGAAAGCTAATATTAATATATGATCAATATTTGTCGAGGTAGAGCTTCAATATTTTGCCATTCCACTTCGATTCGTTGCCAGACAAACTCGAAGGTAATAACCCCCATTCGACCTCTTTTTGCTATATATATATACTTAAACCGCCTTATCAGGAGGTCTCGTTAAATACGTTACACAGGTAGAAAACTCCTTTACTCTGAGAGGTGGTGCGGCGGGGGAGTAGAGGGGCGAATTGTTAAAAAATTTGCATAGTTTTTCAGCTTGCAGCTGGGAAAACGCCAGAGAAGTCGGAACATTTATAAATAATTATATTATACAGCGCCAGCCACAAACTAAAACATTTTAAATGACTTTCAGTCACGGCAGGTAACAAGTGCACGAACAACAACAACAACAACGATAACAAAATTGCATCGGTTTGCTGGGGAGGGGGGGTGAGCGGAAGGGTAGCTGAATGCAAAGTTTGCAACTGCTGCTGTGAAAATTTGCACTGTGATAAGAGCCGTAAATTTTCCAACTGTGATTCCTAATGAGCTTCTACGCGAAGCAATTAGAAAACTTAAAATTTGTTGCTTTGGCGATTGTCGCCAAATGTCGCAATGCAGCGGCTAAAAGCAATTGCCAATTTAAATGGGCCAAAGGTGGCAACAACAACAGCATTTTCACATGAAAAACCGCACAGAAAACGCGAAACAGTGAGCTCATGGGAACTCCAGGTGTGGGTGTGCCACAGCTGTTCGAGCCTCATATTGTCATTGTAATCTAACCTTGGCCAAATGCCGCCTAGCCATGGCCATAATTTGGACAACGGTGCAGAGTTTGTCTTGTGCCCTGTTATCTTGGCCAAACACGCAAGGGATTTTCATTTAATTTCGTTTTCCTTTTCATGGCTAAAAGCTCGCATTTAGATACTCGCACTCGCACTACGCTTTGACCTAAAAGCTAATTAACAACTCGGCTTTCGACTTTTTGGCCAAAATGGGTGCAGCCCACGTCATGTGGATGACCTATCCAAATGCTTGACCCACAAAATCGACGAAATGGGAGCATTTGGAGTGGGAGATGGCGTCCTTTAAAGCTTGACAATTTAATGGATTAAATGTTTATTGAATTCTTAAAAATTTATGTTAAAGCTTCGCTTGAGCTTCTCTTTAAAGCTTTAACTGTACATTGAAGTGGGATGTACATAAGTATGAGTCATGTATGTGTTATTTATGCTTTTTGCTGCAGAAATTGAAATTTGAGCGGGTCAGCAAAAGTATTCGGGGATAGGAATGGAGCCATAGGATAGCTTGCGCTCTAAGAAGATCGTTTGAGACTGAGTCATTTGATAAGTTGACGATAAGCAAAGCTCAGCAGGTAGAAAAATATTGGATAAGATACGAACAAGAAATGTTTAAAAGCTAAGCCGACGCTTATCGGAATTCTCGGCGAGTTTTCGCAACAATTCTAATTGGCAATGTTAATAAATAATATGCAAATGCATGCAAAAGTAAACAAAAGAGTCAAGCAATAAAATTCCAACCAACCTGTAGACAAGTCTAACCTGTTGCTGTTGTTGCTGGCAATGCTACGCCGACGCAAGCTAAAGAACTTTAACTTGAAAGCTTGACTCCGCTCGCTCGCCTCTCTCTCTCTTTCTCTCTCTTTCTCTCACACAAACGCACACATACAGCAGCTCTCGCGCGCTCTTACACACATGCACAGCCAGGTAAGCTTGGGAGCAACACGTCTCGCAAGAAGAAGCAATATTGAATGATCGTCTTGTATGCGTACGACTCTATGTGTGTATGTGTAAATTTTCTTACGGCTTACACTTTTTCACGGATACTTTTTGCACTTCTTTTAGCTTTTGCTGAAGCAATAAAAAGCGCGTCGTTTAACTCCTTACACTTGTCAAATATACCGATTCACCGGTGACGATATTGAAAAACTACCGCACGAACACAGCCCGGCAAGCTACACTTTTACATACATACATACACATGTATTTGGCTATGTATTTACATAAGCCAAGCTTAAACGGCAACTTTTCGAGACGTTTACAGATTTAAGCCCGCTTAAATGTGTATTTGCTTGCATGCTGCTCAAATTGGTATTGGCGTCGAATTTCTGTTACTGTACGCTGTCGATAAACATTTCAAATGTTGTTTTCTTTTTAATTTCGTTGTTACTAACTTAAATAAAGTTAACAATTCGTTGTTACGCGCAATGCACGTCCGACGCGGTTGATGTTGTTTATGCTTCTGAAAGCAAATTTTGTCTTACGTTACATACACGTAACATTAACAGGTGGCGCTTTTTTTAGACTTTGGCTTTCTGTTAACGCAAAAGACAAGCTGTAAACGCAAAAAAGAGCAAAACGCAATATCGCTCTGTTACTGTTAAGTAACTGTTATTAACAGATCAAACGATATCGATAGCCGAACAAAATTACGCAAACGCGCCAATTTTGTCTTATCAGTTTGCTGAAGAAACGCTGTATCAATTAAACACAAAACGACAGATATTACAGTAAAGTACAGCATTTGAAACCAGCAGTTAGCAATTAAACTTTGCAATTGTAAGTCGAGAATTCGCAGCTACTTTTACCGCAGTTCAATGTAAAGTCGATCTTCGACGACGGCTGTTAATGACTTTCGATCACAATTTTGATTACAACATATCAATAGAATATCGTTTCGAATCGAGTTAGAAATCCCCGACAATGTTTTAAGACATTGATAGATATTGTGAAATTATAAAGTAGGCTCTGGTTTTGCTCTGTACTCGAAATTGGACGACTCCAGTTTAGCACAAATTCTTATCAATTTCAAGTCGAACTTGTAAATGAACAGTGCTGTAAAACAAGCAAAAAACGAATTCTTAAGCACGCACACAAGTATACTGTGGCTTCCTCAGCATTTTGCTTATATCTCTTCCTGAGTGCGCAGCTCGATTTGAAAGAAATAAAATTCTGCTACGAGTTTGGTTTGCTTCGTGAGTACTAGACAAATTAGCTTAACTCAATTCGTTTAAGATTCTCAAAGAGCAACAGCATGTTAGCATAATGCATGCATGTATTTTACTATTGCACACACACACACAACACCAACACATATTCATCGTGCGGATAACTGTTTTCCTAACAACACTAGCTTTTTTTTAAGTCTGCTTTTACAGTTTTGCAAACATCTAAGGCAACATTGGAATGCCGCCGAAAAAGCACACTGGTTTCATGATGTTTGTCCAGGAATGGCGCAGAAACGACGCGGAAGGCCGAAAAATGTCTATGCCACAAGCCGTCAGTAAATGCGGCGAATTATGGAAGGTAAGTACGCGCAGAACAGACGACGGCAACTAACTGAATATTTGTGTTTATCACAGAAAATGGACGCACAGCAGCGAGGACCGTACAACGGAGCCGCAAAGGAAGCGGATGTGGTGATGCGTTGCAAGGTGGAGCGCATGAACTGCCACGGCCAAGCCCTCTCCGCTGTGCAGCGCGAGGAGCGCGAGGCGGCCGATCGCCAAATGGACATGAAGCGCAAAATTGAGCGCATGGTGCTTAATGGCAAGGCGCAGCATGGTAAGCTTCTATTCCCACATTCCTGCCCTTACTGATTTGAGTTGCCCGCCCTGCCCCAAGATCTGGAGAACACGAAGTTCATTTTCGCGGCATTCAACTACTTCACGAAGGCAATCACAAATGATATTTACATACCTGCGGAGTTTGCTGCCTGCGAGTTTTCGTTGAAGTCGGGCAAGAGCTCGCTCTACAGCTCGCATATCAATCCAGGTGAGTGAGTTACATCTATGCTCTGGTGCTTTGATAATTGACAGCTTTGCTCCACGCACAGGTCAGCTTATTTTTGGACAGGGCAGCGACACGCTGCATCACACGTCGAATACGCATCAGTTGCCGCTGCCGCCGAATGCATTGGGAGAAGCGAACATAGGCAAGCTGTACGTGAGCATTGTGGAGTATTTGCGTGGCTGCCAAGACGGCGCCGGGCAGCCCAACGAACCGCTGGTGGTCTTTACAAGCACCGAGCTTGTGCCTGTGGTGCGAGGCTGCTTCAGATATCTGGAAAGCGACAGCGATGAGCTGCAGGAGAACATTGAGGTCTACGACATACAGTACCTGTTCTATGTGCTCAAGAAGGAGGTCATGGACATTGCCGATCTGCCCAACGAGCATATAAACAAGAGCATTACCGACAATTTGTTCGTCAATGATTTTTTTGAGTATCATTCGGGCATATCGTGTCAGGTGAGTTTGGCTATATCTGCAGCGAGCTACCTACCAACTAATAAGTTTCCTCTAATCTCCAGTTTCATGAGGACAACGATCGCGGCAAATACTGCACCCAGTCGAAGGTTGCCCGTTGGTGTTACATGTTCAGCGACTATATGTGCGGCGATCTTGCGATCAAACCGCTGCCTGGCAAGCATATGCCGCCCAAGCAGGAGCCCAAGTTCAGGGTGATCAATCCTGAAGAGCCGATTGAGAACAGGTGCTTCTCCGGAATGACCACGACTGAAAAGTCGAGTGGCAACACCTCCTTCGCCTCAATTAGCTCGCTTCAGACGGAAGTGAAGCACGAGATTGTTGATCATTCGGCCTTTTCTGCCAACCTCAATGCATCGGAGGACTTTCCCAGTCTTGGTGGCCGCAAAGGCAAGCGCAATGCCGAGCCATTGGCCAAAGGCGTTTGGAATGTGCCTGCCTCAAACTGTAGCGTTAAGGATTTGGGAGATGCGTTCAACATGCCCCGCCGATAATAAGAATTTAATCTTAAACTGACTCGAATGTCAATGCCAAGATATCGTCTTGAGCGTGTCGCATTTGTTAATCTATTTTCTAGTAATTCTTAAAAAATGCACTAATATTACGTTTGTTAAATGAAGTTCAAAGAGACAAATGTTTTATTTCAATATAATTTGGTTTGAGCCTTGCGACTAACTCTTTGCAACGGGGGGCGTGGAAATCGACACGAATCAAAAATGGCCGCAGTCTCACCTGTGCGTACAGGTAGGCAGAGCGAGTGAGAAAGAACAACAAACGTGCGACCCAGTTAAATTGCTGGTATGTATGTATATACGCAAGTGTGCGTGTGTGTGTGTGTGCGTTGCATACTGCTGCCAGAGCAAAGAAATGTAACGCAATGATCCATGTACGTTAGTGTGTGTATAGGTACATATGCATGTACGTATACGTGTTACATATCTAAATGCGTATATAAACTATAACATATGTAAACTAAAGATTGAAATGGTAATAAAAGTTATTTAACAGTTGCATAAACGTCAAAGCAAATTTCCAGTTAACATTCTGTGTATGCATGTGTGTGTGTGTGTGTTTGTTTATCTTGTTGTACAACACTGCACAATGATAGGTTAAATTTGAATTGAAATTGCATATGTATGTGTTTTTGGCCGCGCAAATGGACACCTATCGCATTGGCCAACTTAAATTCGTTGAATTAAATAGATTTTCTTATATTTGCTTTGTCTAATTACTAAATTAGGTGGGACTAACATATGGAGCCTGTGAAAATTTGCTGTGGCAACACTTGCCAAGAGCATGCATGTATGTGTGCCTGTGCACATGCATTGAACATGCAACAGCGCTATTTGAATTTTCTTGTAGTTGGAAAGCGGCCAAAATGTCCAAGATCAGTAAAAAGCGTACTGATTGTATTCCAGATGTTTTCGAGCTATTGCCAATTCGCGAATATCGTTGCGAATTCGAATGCGGCAAGGTATTCAAGAACCGCAGTCCTTACGAGCTGCACCTGCAAAAGAAACATGGCGTGAACATCAAGGAGAATATATATGCATCCTTTCGATGCCCGGTCGAAAATTGTGATTATTTGGGGCGACGCCTAAATCTGGTGCGTCGACATTACCAGAGCCACCATATGGAGAAAAAATACAACTGCGCCGCATGCAATCGAAAGTTCTTAACGGAATCGCAGTTCCTGAAGCACAGATGCGAGCTCCAGATCTACACCTGCCAACGGTGCCCAAGGACATTCAATTTATTGAGCATGCGGAACAGGCATGTCAAACAGTGCGTCAAAAAGGCAACTGCCCCAACGCCGCTGCCCAATGCCAGCGAGGACGCACTGGAGGATAACGGTACGACTTCATGTCCACCAAGTTAGCTGCTTATTAAGATTAAAGATCAAGAATAACTTTGTTCCTTCAGGTGCAGATGTTGACAACAGTGAAAAGGTGGATGCCGACCCAACGATCGACGAGTTCGAGCAACTGCTACGGAACATTGAAAACAATGTCGTTGAGGATCGCGCACTGATCGAGGAGCTGGCAGCATTAACCCCAATCCTGCAGAGCTTACAAACATAAGCCCCGATGCGTACCGAAATATCTGATTGCTGTCAACTAAATGTTAAGTTTTTATTTTAATTTGCACTCTAAGTACATTTATGTTTTAATAATAAGTCTAAAGCTCTGGAGAAATTCAATTTTCAATTAAGTACAAATTGTTAGAAATTTGAAGTAAGAGAATAAAGTATCTTTATTAAGTGATTGTCATTCTATTGATTTGTCATGAAAAGTGCTGCAATTTATTAAGAATTTATTTAAGTTTTTCTTTAAGGTTTTTAAGGTATCTCAAGAGTCTCTCTGTTTGGCATTGAATTTTTACATAGGAATCGGATCGGTTCACTATATCATAAAGCTGACATCGAACGTTGGATAATTAAGTATGACTTTTCTTCAGGAAATCTTAGAATTTTTGATATAGCTTTGCAGAAAGACTCGGTCGTAGTTGTTGAACCAACCCCAGAACTTACAAGCTATACTCTAATTCGAACATACAAAACAAATCGAACCAATATTGGATTAGCTCTCTAGGAACGATCGGGCTTCATAAAAAATCTCAATGATGGATGACCCCTTCTCTTCCAAGAAGAGGAAGGAACTTTATACACGTCCTTATGATAGTACTCAAGTAGAAATAACCAGGATTAAAAATGTGTGTTCGGAAAGGAGAATGGATAAAAAGGTGGTCTATATTCTAGTCTCTAGTCCCCCCTTGCGATCTGATCACATTATAATACACACTTTATGCGCTTCATACACATTTTCAATGGGTACAGCGTATACTTAAAGTTACACTCTTATGATTAAAACTCTTTCCCCCCTCTTGTACTTAAAACCCTATCGTTTCTTATCTATTTTTTTCATTTGTAAAATCAATACCAAAAGTACCTGAAGCATAGCTCTCTTTGAAATCAATCAATCTCTTAATGAAATCAATCAATCTCTCAATACAATTAATAGTAGTTATTGGGTAAATAGCTTTCGTATCCATCATGCCATGGGATCAGGCTATGACATCCCCAGGCTGATGCATGGTACTGATAGGCAAGGTGCTGTTCCTGCGAATAATTGACCATCGGAATTGGGAATTCGCTGCGGCCTTGTATGCGATGCCGCAAGTCATTCTCTGGCAAGCAATTGTACTTCGCTATTTCCAAACGGTGTCGCAAATCATGTTGAGGTAGTTCGTATTGCGATTGCTGGAAGCTCATGGGTACCTGTAATTGATTGTAGGATCCAGTTTCAGCTCCATAATGGTAGCTGTTGTATGTGGTGTGCACGGCAACAGATGAAATATGGGATGGAATTGGATGAGAGCTGCCTGCTCCGACCGCATGGCTGTTGTAAGCCGGCAGCCGTGAAAAACGGCTCGAAATCGTTGAAATTGAAGAAACGGTTTTGGAAAACTCCACATTTTGAAAAACTGCTCTCTCGAGTTCCACATTTGATATAGCTGATTTACCAGGAGCTTCATTCATTTCCTTGGAGTCAGCTAACGCACCTCGAAATCTTTGAGACGAAATGTCTGGAGAACAATCTCGAGTACATTGTTTTTTGCTTAAGACTTTGACTTCGCCTTGTGAAGTCCTTGGTGATAATATTGGCTTTTTACTGCCGCGGCTGCTGCTTCTAGAATATTTTAAGGTGACGCTCCTCAAGGGACTAATTGCGTGTTGCGTTGATCTGGAGGGTGACAGCTCCATTTTGTGCCTGCTGCCTGTTTCCCTTTTCCGACATTCTTCTTTTCTCTCGTACTTTACTGTGCGTGGACTACGTGAGGGCCTGCGGCTCAAGCCACAACTATAGTTTTGCCTTCCAGGTGAAATACTGTTCTCACATAAAGCATTTCGCTCCTTGATTGTGCGACTTGAAGAACGAGAACGCCCACGAGCGTTTCTTCGCTGGCATCGATTATCGCGATTTAAGGATCGTGAACGGGAGCGTGAGCTAGAGCGCCAACGTGATTGCAAGTTAATTTCTCGACGATAGAGTCTATCTCCATTCCTGTCTGTTGAAAGACGCACAGAAATACTTTGATCATGTATCACTTCTATCACGGACTTGGTCTTTGTTTCTGTTTCTGTTTCTTTCTCAGATAATTCATTAATACTAAATTGATTGCTATCACAATAAGTATGTTGTTTTTTTGGTCGTCGCGTAAATATGGCAGAATCATCTGCGAGGCTTTCGCCTATACTCGGGGGCGGCGGAGGTTCTTTTTCGCAGTCATCCAATACGATCTATTTGATCTTTGCACGACCATCATCCATAATACTTTCTCCATCTTTGGAATATTCATTATTCCCAACGTTTGTTTGCTTCGACGTAGCTGCATCTAATCCCCAGCTATCGTCGTCTTCAAAAATGTTATCCAAATCAAGACTATTAAGAGCATCCACCGCATCTGGATTTATAAATTCTTCATCATCTATCATAGGTTCTGCCTTTATGTGTGTCACGTCCGCTGGCTCAGCGTTCTCACTGCTTCCATGGTCAGCTTCAGGCATATTCACAAGATCTTTCTGCTTATCATGGTGCGGTAGCTGATCCGTGTCTAGACGGTTGGGCATGTGTCGATTTGGAAGCATTTTAATAGCCAGGTCAGAGCACATGTAATCAGCAAAAGCGAAGGCCCAGCGCGTAACATACGATTTGGCGCAATGCGCCGTAAGATCGCGCTGCTTGTGGAATTCGCAGCCGATGTCCGATAGAAATTCATGCGGATCCAGATTGAATTGGGCATTTGTGATATGAAACGATGCTGGAGGTGGCAAGATGCCAGCCGCACACGTCGCTTTCTTCAATACATAGAAAAGATATTCTATGGGATGGACCTTGAGCTGGCTAGCCACGCCCCCATTAAGAAACTCAAGGGCATTGTTGACAACTGATATTTGGCTTTCCAAAGTAAACATGGGCGAAAGTTCAGCCTCAGGCCCACACTCCAATCGTACGAACTCGAGCAAATCTGCCAGAATACCTTCCAAGTCGTCATTACCCAAGGCATTAGGGTACTGATGCGTGGCCCTCACGTGCTCCTGGGTTGCATATTGTGATCCATCTGAAAGCAAACACATTTTAGTTAGCCACTGAGCACATGAAGCTGCGCATCTGTACCAGGATTGATCAGGGTATGGTATATATTCCGCATGCCATGCTTCAGAGTGAACTGGACAACGGCCAGTTCCGCTGGCGTACAGGCGTCCTTTGTGAAGTAATTAACCATAATAAAATAATAGCTTTGGCTTTCCAATACTGCTCGCTGGGCACTATACCGCACAATATTCTCTATTTCCATATGCACTTGTCGCTGCTGCTGTGCCGGCTCAGCGTCTCTCTCCAACTGTGCACTGGGAACTGTGCCCGCTTTCAGTTGACGAGCTGCGTCGAGGTATGGCTGGCGTTCCACTGGACTCATTTTCTAGAGCGCACAAGGGGAGAGTAAGGAATGCACTTTCTACTCATGTCATTTCAAATACCTGCCACGCCGGTCCGGCCAGATGGAGGCACTCCTCCCACTGCAGATTGTGAGCTCTCAGTTTGCGCCATTCTTGCACAAACAGGGAAAACGCAGACTGTTTCTTCTGGCGCCCCATTGATGTTGCTCGTCATATCCAACTACCTTTCCCGAGCTGGCTGAACTGGGCAAGGGAACATGTTTCCTTTCAATTGTTTTTTTTTTGTTGTAACTGCAACGTGAATCTCTTCTTGGGAACTTGCAAAACTAAAGCATGCACAACGCGCAGGCACAATAAACTTTATTGAAATGGTATTTGGCAACGCGCATTTATTTATTCATCAAAAAAATACTCTTAATTATTTTTAGTTAAAGCGCTGCATCAAAATGCAAGCGGCGCACACGAAAGCCGGCGGAAAATGGCTTAACAGCTGTGAGCTGTAAGTAACAGAGCCTTTACAGAACAGCTGATGCTTTAACATACCTATCGATTAGCCTCTGTTAACTTAACAGCTGTTGACTGTAAACAACAGAGAGTTAACAGAACAGCTGGAGCTCTAAATAGCTATCGATTATTTTGCTATTAGCTAGCTATCGCCTATAATGTCCCCTTATTTATTTGTTTAGCTTTTGCTGTATACTACAGCTATCAATTATCAATATTGTCACAATTATCATTGTGCAATAGAGATGAGTACAAATTTAAATATTAGCCGATAAATTAATTACACGATACTTGATTGCAGATGATATATTCGTCACCTTCCAGTACTTGTGACTAGTAACTCTTAAAAATGAAGAGCTCATCTCTAACGTGAACGTGGAAGGGACTGGAAAGAAAAACACACGTCAAAAATTCTTAACACTAAGAGCAAAAACAATCATTTAAAGCGTTTTTAAATGCACTTGATCCAAAATTTAAAGGGCTTGCAATAGGAATTGTTAAACAAGCTGCCCACGTTCAGCATCAACTGCCAAACATCATTGCTGGTGACCAAGCGACAAGCAATATAACTTCAGGTGCAGGCATAGGCGGAGCCAGCCACGAAAACAATTTACAATCAATAATAAAAGACAGCAAACAGGCGCAGCGTCATCAATACCATGTCCAACAATGCAGCGGGACCCACAAAACAGGAAATCGAAGCCGTGTTCAGTCGCCTGCGGGCACAGCCTGCCAACAAGGTGAGCTCGGGCAAAGTGTTCCCACTTCCAATTTAAGTTAACGGTACTTTTCATTTTATTTTTATTTTTTCAGTCTTGCTTCGATTGTGCAACAAAAGCGCCCACATGGTCCTCCGTCACGTATGGCATCTTCATATGCATCGACTGTTCCGCCGTGCATCGCAATCTCGGCGTGCATTTGACCTTTGTGCGTAGCACCAATCTGGACACCAACTGGACCTGGCTGCAGCTGCGGCAAATGCAACTGGGCGGCAATGCCAATGCCGCGCAATTCTTTCGCTCTCACAACTGCAGCAGCAGCGACGCCCAGGTCAAATACAATTCCAGGGCGGCTCAGCTGTACCGCGACAAGCTGGCGGCGCAGGCACAGCAGGCGATGAAGGTCTATGGCACCAAGGTGAGCATCTGGCCGCGTTTGCTGCGCTCCTGTTGTTTCTTGTTGGGATTTTGTGCTAGTACGATTTAACCCTGAAACCAACTAACACAAAACATTTGCCGTTCTCGCTTGCGCTTTACTTGTATCTTGTTTCTCCATTCCCACACTCACACGCACACACACGCAAAGCTGCACTTGGACCCGGCGGCGGATAAGAGCGAGGGCAATGATGCCGCCAGGGAGGACCAGGAGGAGGAAGACTTTTTTGCGCAATGCGATAACATTAATGCCAACGCGCATCTGGAGAACAACAACATCAGCCTTGCGGCCAACGATGTAAAGGTGAAGCCAACATAAACACACGCATTTTTTTGCTAGAGTTGAAGTTGAAGTTCTTGTTGATTTGCTACCACCGTTGATGTTGATTTGCTTTACTTATTTGGACTGCCTTTTTTTTCACAGCTGGAGACCAAGCCTGCGGTGGAGGCCAACGCAAGTGTTGGAGTCGGTGCGCCCAGCGTCGATCTTCTCAACTCGATTGTGGCCCCCTCAGCGGTGCCCTCGTCTATAGGTGTCCGCAAGATACAGCCCAAGAAGGGAGCAGTAAGTAAACAGTACAAGGAAATAGAAACAACATAAATCTTAAAACCATTTCTTAGCTGGGCGCACGCAAGGTGGGTGGACTGGGCGCGACGAAGGTAACGACGAACTTTGCGGACATTGAAGCGCGCGCCAACGCGGCAAATGAGAGCAAGACGGCAGCAGCTGCTGCAGGACCTGTTGAGAAGTCACAGACCGCAGAGGAGGAGATGGAAACTGTGGCGAGCATGCGTTTGGCATACCAAGATCTGTCGCTGCAGAAGACGCGCGAGGAGGCCAAGCTAAAGAGCATCGATCCCGCCAAGGCCAAGCAAATGGAACGGCTGGGCATGGGCTTTAACTTGCGCGGCTCTGACGTGGCGCACTCCGCCTTAAGCGACATGGAGACCATACAGCAATCCGCTGCACCTAAGGCCAGTGCACAGAGCAAACTAGCTGCGCTGGAGAACGAAAACTTTTTCAATGATCACTCGTTGAACTTGTACAGCGGCGGTGGCGATAAGAAGGAGACCTCGAGCAGCACCAGCAAGTTGGACAAATTCGAATTGGATGCACTGGGATATGAGACAATTGAGCCCATTGGCGGCACGCACAGCAACATCACGTCCATGTTCGCTGCCGGCAGTGATTACGATAAGCCCAATGCGCGGAGCAGCGGAACAGCAGCGGCCAACAAGAGCAAAAGCAAAAGCACCATCAACAGCAATGATCCTGTCGTGGCGCAGCAAAAGTTCGGTAACTCCAAGGGTTTTGGCTCTGATCAGTACTTTGCGAGCGAACAATCTTCGGCGGATGTTAGCGCCAATCTGAATCGGTTCCAGGGCTCGCGCGCCATATCTTCATCAGACTACTTCGGGGACGGTGCCCCAGGAGGTGGCATGAGCAATCGCGGTACTAAATGCACTTATAAGACATCAAATTAATTGTAAATAGCATTGAATATGACTACAATTGTTCGGTTACAGGCAGCGGCGGCTACACGACTGGGGTTAACTTTAATGCGCCCGATTTGGATGATGTCAAGGAAAGTGTGCGCCAGGGCGTGCACAAGGTGGCCGGCCGGCTGAGCAATCTGGCCAACGATGTCATGTCCTCGCTGCAGGATAAATATGGTTACTGATAGCGGCAACATCAGCACTAAAAGCAACCGAAGTTAACCATTAAATGATTTTTATATAATATATGTCACTCCAATTTAGAATATGTCCAAAAAGTTATAAACAATTCCAAGCCGACAGCTGTGTAGCATTGAATTTGAGAATCGATTTCAAAAGATTCTTGTATAAACAACACCATATAAACTTAAACGTAGTGTCTTCAGCAACATTATACACAAATACATTGTACAACTTGTGCATTATATGCAGATGAAAGATATGCAAAGTTATTTGAACGAATGATGATATCGCAATTGTGGAACAACCATTAGCTCTTAAGTCGAATCGATAGCTGCTGTTTTTCTATGGCATTTTGTTTTCATTTTTTATATATTATTATTATTATTATTGTATCTGCATAAGGCATTTCTAAGTTTTAATACTTTGTTAATCTTGAAATTTGGTTCCGATTGAAGTTAAAACTGCGGGTATTATTTTTATAAAAGAAAACAAAAGTAATAATATATAATAAAAATTCAAAATACGTTGCGTAAGGCAAATACGGCTTTCCAATCAATCACTAAAGAAAAACGTGAGTGTAATTTTTTTTTTTTTGTTTAAAACAGAAAGAACTTTTATTAAAATGCGCTCGGAAACGTTTACAATTTGGCTAATAATTACAAAAATCTTTGATTACAGACTCGGCGCAGACTCGAAATGAAAATATCGTTGCACCTGGCGATGCATTAGCAAGAATTGGTGGTGGACATTCAAGTGGCGTCGCAATGGGAATGAGCATCAGTCATGGATCAGATGGTCAGCTGTTTAATGGCGACGCTTGCTGGGACTGGGACGGACGCGAGCGCGTGCGGCTTCCGGCGAGCCGTAGGCAATGGCGTGCGATGTGGCAGAGCCGCCCTCACCGGTGCTGAAAGAGTTGGCAATGGCGATGGCGCCGCCGCTGGTGCCACCAAAGTCAATGGGGAAGAATGTGCCAGCGGGCAGAGGAGCGGGCTTCTTTACGGGCTTGCCAGCAGCGCCAACGGGCTTCTTGACAGCAGGACGGCGAGCGTTGGGCACGCGAGCGGGACGCTTGGCCACAGGCTTGATGGGCTCGGACAACTCCTCATCATCCTCTTCGACATCATCGGCAACAGCATTCTCGGCCTCTTCATCCTCAAAAGCAGCCACCTGGGCCTCAGCATCTTCGGCAGACTGGTCCAGCTCGACGATGACCTTCCTCTTGGCGGGCAGATAACGGTTGGCGGGTACAACGGCGGCAACGGGCGCTATGGGAGCCGGTGCGGGCAGCTCATCATCCTCAACGGCTGGCACTGGTGCTGGCTCCTCGGCGGCAAAGTTGAAGTCGCGAGGCACCTTGGCGGCATCATCGCTTTCGGACACAGCCGATTGAGTGTCGGCATCGGCGCTGTTGCTGCTATCGACGGCAATCTGCACCACAGGTGCCTCATCGGGATAGGCTTCGGCCACAGAGCTGGCACCATGAGCGCCGGCAGCGCTCAGGGCATCATCAGCCTGGGCGGTCTCTGCGCTGATGTCATCCACACTGACTGCCACATCGGACTCTGCGTGATCGCAATCTTTGTTAGATAAGCAGGAGAATTGCGGGTAAGTTGGGCTTGTTAGTGGTTAACAGTTGCTGGTCGGGCCACTCTCATGCTTACCCTTAAGATATGTGCCAGTGGCAACGGTTTCTCCGGCCACAAGTGCGCTGGCCGCCTGAGTGGAGCGTGCATGAGTGCGTCCTGGCTGCACGTACTGCATGTACATTATTCTCTGCTGGGGGGCGGAACCGTACCATTCGGCGGCGACGGGTTGTTGATAATATGCCATTCCTGGAACAAGGTATTGCCGATCTTCAGTGCGTGCAGTTGAAAGGCATGCGGATGGGTATGGATTATGGAGATGTTATGGAACAAAAATATGCATGAGAATTATGTATTGTGGAAATGGCAATGCACATTATGTATTTGTCATGAAATTTGTAATTTTTCCTACCCCATAAGGTATATAAAATCTATATTAGGCTTGATATAGCCATGTCCATCTCTGTCTGTTTCAATGCGAACTAGTTTCAACTGAAACTTTGCATAGGTCCGTCTTTCTATTGCAGGCAATACATGTATCGTTACTGGTCGGAACGGGCTACTATATCATAAAGCTACCGTAGGTACCATCGATCGAAAAGTAGACTCTTGTATAAAAAACTTTTTGTTTATCAATATATCTTGTGCAAACTCGGCATTTGTAAGATGCACTATGCTCTCTACATATATGCAAAATCTTATCAATATCGGACTACTATATAATATAGCTACCATATGAATCATCGATCAGACAGTAGGTTCATGTATGGAAAACTTTTTTGTTTATTAAGATAATTTACAGATACTCAGCATTTATTAGTTTTACTATGCTCCCTACATATATATAAAATCTTATCAAAATCGGACAACTATATCATATAGCTGCCATAGGAACGATAGGTCGAAAAGTTGGTTCTGATATGAAAACCTTTTTTATGTTAAGACAACTTGACCCAACTCGCTGCTTATTAGTTTTATGTTGATCCTTACATATATATATATGCAAAGTTTTATCAACTTCGGACCACTATATAATATATAGCTGCTATAGGAAAGATCGGTGGAATAATAGGATCTTGTATAGCAAAATATTGTGAGTTCTATATGAAATGTTGAAATATGAAAGGAAAGTGGCGATTAATTAACTTAAGAAAGCTTATAACTAAAGAGCTTTATTAGCATTATTATTGTAGTAAAGTACTTAAAAATGGGACTAAAACCTTAGAGAAGTTTTAAGGTACTTAAAGATTTTGATTGGGCATAGAATAAAACAGAATAGAAGTGTAATTGTATTTTGTTGCATAGTGTTGTCCTTTTGAACAAGTTCACTTGGTTAACTCACTTTTCCTGGCTGGCAAGGCATCGCCGCTGGCCACAAAACCGACGATCACCAGCAAAGCAAACGCAGCACTGAACTTCATGTTGAGACTGTTTTTTTTTTTTTTGGTTATTTATCTTATCTGTCCTGCGATATGGCAATTTGTGTTATAAATGTTTTATATGTTATTTGTTACGCGCACTGGATCACAGCAGGAGCTAAACTTGACACTTAAGTTTCCACCAAAGAAGTGATGACTGCCCAACGCAACGCGTTAGATTTATATACGAAATCAGATTGGCAAAAAAAAGAAAAAAAAACAACTACAAAATGAGCATAATGAGCTGTGGCTAAAACTCGGATATACCCAAACTGTAGTCTCTCAGCGCCCCCTATTTAGTATGCGACAGGCGTTCACCCCGGGATCGAGTCGACTCGAGTCCGAACGTGCGAACCGCCCGTTGCCCGGTGGATAAGCGGCTGCGGCGCGGATCATTGGCTGAATTTGGATTATTGAAATTGTATATAGGCTGGGTGTAGATGATTGGAGCACGGTTCCATTATATTCACAATGTTGCACGTTTCAGCTGTCAGTTATGGATCTTCTTATGGGCAATGCGATCAGGCAAATATGATAAATTCTTTGAAAGGAATTTTCGTTTTTGCATTTTATTATTTGTTGTCTATTAATATCACAAATATCACGTAACCATAAAATTGCCAATTCGAATTTAAGGTCATTTCGTAGACCCTTGGACACTGTACTAGCCCAAAAATCGAGGTTTATGGGTGCGTGTGCGTTTTATCGCCATTGATAAAAGCTCACCGCTTAGAGAATTCAAATAAAGCCCAAAGACATGCAGTGCATTAATTAGCTGGCTGGACTGGGTCCACAACGGAACAGGAAGCCTGCATGCTAAGAACTCTGTGATTCATCCTGATACATAAGTAAATATGTAACTGCTCCATTGCCAACATCTAGCCGCTGAATCATTCGTTCAGCTACGTCTTTCCTGGGCGCCAGCTGTTTCCTTTTAAAACTCAATTATTGCAGCCCGCCCACTTCAATATCTCGACGTGCATTCAATCATTAATCGAGCAGTCTCTTAACGGCTGTTGCCTTCTCCTGAAGGCACCTTTCAGCAGTTTTTCTTTTTTTTCTCAATATACAGATGCATTAATCATACGCAATGCCGTCATTTACCTCGTACGAAGCTGGCTAATCTAGCTATAAGTGGGTCTTTCCTCTTCTCTCCACAACTATTCACGAGGGTCGCCTCTAATGTTGTTCGACTTGTCAGCAAATGCAGTTGATTTCGGTTCGGATCGCATCACTATATCATATTGCTGCCATAGAAACAATCGGTCGAAAAGTTTTTGCAAGATCTCTTGATTAAACTCATTGGCTGAAAGGTTCCTGATTTTCCAAATTCCATCTATATAATTCCGACTATATATCGGAAAATATAAATATAAATATATATATATAAATTCGCAATTTGGGGCTTAAGCCGGTTTGGTTTAGGGCTTCTAGCCTTGCTCGTCAAGGCGTCGTTTAACTTACTTAAAATGTTGGCAATGTTGTGCTAAAATTGATATGGAAGGTCGTCACGTGACACAGCGCAAAGGTATTGGGACATCCTTGAGTGGGAGCAATGCATATTTGACATTATATGAATATGTGATTGCCAGGAAGTTCTCTGCGCTTTTCTTTTTCGAACTGAGCTCCATTTCAAATGTAGACACACAAGACATAAGTCAACCCTCGTTGCAGCAAATCTTTAACTCACTAAAATGCCTTTGGATAAGCTCTCTATTGCCGTCGTATCGAATATCGTTTTGACAAAGTTGAGAAAGGAGAGACAACGAGTCACTTCTGATGTCATAATCAAAATTGTCGGGAAATTTGGCAGCTTATTTTGCATGCGTGTAATGATTTTTTTTTGATTTTGTCAAATGTTCATAAATTAAAAACCGTTTATCAATTGAATATTATAGAATCGAGTAGAATTCTAGGCATGCGGCAAATAAACATAATTCGAAATTAGAAAGCTTCAATGACATGAATTACCAATTGATTCGGCAACTTTGGAAGCTTGGCCCATAATAATTGTTAGCCTTTTGTGTTTACAATCTTGTGATTGGGGCGCTATTGCGAAGGCTTAAGGTATTTTGGCCATTTTCATATTTTGGTTAGCTTCTCAAAATGGGCCAACAAGGCATCTGCACCACTTTATGATTTAACCAAAGCACACGCCTAATTGCCGGGTTTTTATGCAAATTGTTAAACAGTTTTCGAACAAAACAAAAAAAAAAAAAAAAAAAGAGCTTGTGCCCGGCATGGTAATGGC